GAGGTATTGAGGTATTTCTCCATCATTTGGAGTTACAGTACATCTTCTTTTGTATATCCAGCATGTGAACTAACGGCTGATGACCCTCCAGCCTTCATAATTGTGAGAAATACATTTTTTTTGGTTAAATTTGTTTGGACTTATTGTACAAACCTATTTAAAGGAGACATATTATACTATTTCAACAAGTTAAGCTAGTTCCCTGGTGTCCGAATGTAATGTCTGTGACCTCCTGATTTATCTCCTGGATTCAGACAGAGGCGGCCCACAAAAACATGACCCAGTCATTTTTTTTCTCACACTTTTCCTGCTGATAGGCCCTCCACAGTCCCAAATGTACACAATCACATGATTAAAAACCTGGTTTTGCATAATATGTCCCCTTTAAGAAATGAGGAAACATAGAGACAATGCGCATAATTAATAAGAATCTTTGCAATTCATTAATTCATTTTTCCTTTTCGAGCAACTTGCTTAAATCCTAAACTGCATCCTTTAACAATAACAGTCAACTGAGGTATTTTTGTTTGCTAACCTTTCTAACAAATATACAAAAATAAAAAATGATCAGGTCAAAATATTGCTGCATTATGTCCTATTTCAAATTTCTTGACCTGCCTTCCTCTGGTTGGTCATTTTTTTCACACTTTTCCTGCTGATAGGCCCTCCACAGTCCCAAATGTACACAATTACATGATTAAAAACTTGGTTTTGCATAATATGTCCCCTTTAACATCCATTATTTTAACATAATATTATGGATAGAGTTTAATTCAGTGTTTGCAAGATTAATTTCACCATTTTCGGATCTATATTTTTAAAAGATTGTATTTTTCAGTTTTATCATTTCTGTCCTATATTTTTATTTCTACATTTTATTTCTTGCTTCTCGTAGAAGTGTTGTGTTGTTCACCAAACATCAAAAAGGCAAATTCCTTGTAAGTCTAAAAACCTACTTGGCAATAAACCTTATTCTGATTCTGATTCTGATTCTGATTCTGATTTAAATGAATGTCTATATTGCCATGAAGCAATTACCTGGGATTTTCCTATTGGTGACCTAATCAAAATGGCCGCCTTGTATGTGGGTGGAGTTGGATATATCCATCCTTGGCTTCCTTGTCCTGGAGGGTTTCAGCATCAGAATCAGAATCAGAAATACTTTAATAATCCCAGAGGGAAATGATTTAATTGAATTATTTATTATTATTTTCATTTAAAGAGGCGCCTGGCGGCCCCCAGCAGGTCCCGCAGCAGCACCCTGAGGTGGGACCCGTCGCAGTAGGGGGGGGTGCGCGTCTCTTTGCAGGCGCAGAGCAGCGCCCCCCCGTCCTTTTCGGGGGAAAAGCGCAGGGGGGCCATGTCTGGGGCCTTAGTCCGGTGGGCCCCGTCACAGAACGGCTGCCGGGGGAGAGGAACAGGACTCATCACTCATCTATCTATCTGTTCTGTTTCTGTTTAGACTCTGAATTTTATATTAACATTTACATGTTTGTGGAACAAAATTCATGGTTTAGGAAGCTTAATAAATAGGAATTGGAAAAAAAAGTACCCAAGAACAACAAGCTATAGAAGGAATATGTGTTTTTTCAATCTATCTATCTATCTATCTATCTATCTATCTATCTATCTATCTATC